CACAAAGTTTAAGTGCAATCAGATCGGACATGAAGCTGTAATTTGCAGAGCAAACATCCAGCAAGTTGTAGCTGATGCACAAAATGCGCAAGAGAATGAAGACCAGCTATTTGTTGCTACCTGTTTCTCCACCAATAGTTCAAGTGAATCTTGGTTGATAGATAGTGGTTGCACCAACCACATGACTTATGACAGAGAATTGTTCAAGTGTTTGGACAACACCGAAGTCAAATGGGTCAGAATCGGGAATGGTGAACAAATTCCAGTAAAAGGCAAGGGATCAATAGTTATAACAAGCCACATAGGTACGAAAACCCTCTCTGATGTTTTATATGTACCTGAAATTAACCAAAACCTGCTTAGTGTTGGACAATTTCTAGAGAAAGGGTTCAAAGTTATCTTTGAAGATAAAAGCTGCATAATTAAAGATCCTACAGGTCTTGACATGTTTAAAGTCAAAATGAGGAGCAAGAGTTTCTCATTTGATCCAATGAAGGAGGAGCAGGTTGCATTCCCAGTTACAGCAAGCTCAGTTGATCTTTGGCACAAAAGGTAAGTGCAATCAGATCGGACATGAAGCTGTAATTTGCAGAGCAAACATCCAGCAAGTTGTAGCTGATGCACAAAATGCGCAAGAGAATGAAGACCAGCTATTTGTTGCTACCTGTTTCTCCACCAATAGTTCAAGTGAATCTTGGTTGATAGATAGTGGTTGCACCAACCACATGACTTATGACAGAGAATTGTTCAAGTGTTTGGACAACACCGAAGTCAAATGGGTCAGAATCGGGAATGGTGAACAAATTCCAGTAAAAGGCAAGGGATCAATAGTTATAACAAGCCACATAGGTACGAAAACCCTCTCTGATGTTTTATATGTACCTGAAATTAACCAAAACCTGCTTAGTGTTGGACAATTTCTAGAGAAAGGGTTCAAAGTTATCTTTGAAGATAAAAGCTGCATAATTAAAGATCCTACAGGTCTTGACATGTTTAAAGTCAAAATGAGGAGCAAGAGTTTCTCATTTGATCCAATGAAGGAGGAGCAGGTTGCATTCCCAGTTACAGCAAGCTCAGTTGATCTTTGGCACAAAAGGCTGGGTCATTTCCATCATTTGGGAATGAACTATATGCTGAAAAATCAACTAGTGCGTGGAGTTCCTTCCTTGACAGAGAAGCTAGCTGAATGTGAAGCTTGCAAACTCGGGAAGCAAACAAGGAAACCATTTCCTGAAAGTAGTTGGAGGGCAAGTCAAAAATTGCAGCTAGTTCACACTGATGTTGCTGGACCACAAAGAACTCCATCACTAAAAGGAAGTCTTTGTTATATAATTTTTATTGATGACCTAACGAGAATGTGTTGGATTTTCTTTCTTAAATACAAATCGGAAGTAGCTGCGGTGTTTTGGAAATTCAAAGCACATGTTGAAAATCAAAGCAATAGTCGTATTCAGATTTTGAGGTCAGACAATGGAAAAGAGTATATAGCAAATCAGTTTCAACAATTTTGTGATGAAGCTGGGATTGAGCATCAATTGACAGCTCCTTACACTTCACAACAAAATGGAGTGAGTGAAAGGAAAAATAGATCAATCATGGAGATGGCCAGGTGTATGCTTCATCAAAAGGAATTACCAAAGAAGTTTTGGGCCGAAGCTGCAAATACAGCGGTATTTATTCAAAACAGAATTCCTACACGAGCTGTACAAAATCATACTCCTTTTGAAGCCTGGTTTGGTTTTAAACCTTCCTTAGATTTTTTTAAAATATTTGGTTGCTTGTGCTATTCACATGTACCTCAGGTTAAGCGTGATAAACTTGACAAAAGAGCCGAACCTGGAATATTTATAGGCTACAGCACGATCTCTAAAGCTTATAGGATTTTTTAGCCTCAAACTGGAAAAATTCTTATAAGCAGAGATGTGCACTTCATGGAGGATGAAAAATGGTGCTGGAGTGACTCAAAGAAGAACCAGTATGTTGTACTAGAGCTTGGAGATACAGTAGATGATGCACCCATTCGAGGCACAAGGTTGCTTTTCGAAATCTATCAAAACAGCAATGCAGAAGCGTGCAATATAGCAGTGTGCGAACCAGCCAATTTTGAAGAAGCTGCTATGGAGCAGAAATGGCTAGCTGCAATGAAAGAAGAGATGTCCATGATCGAGAAAAATCAAACCTGGGTGCTTGTTCCAAGACCCATGACAAAAATGTCATAGGGGTGAAGTGGGTGTTTCGAACAAAACTTAATCCTAATGGATCTCTAAACAAGTACAAAGCAAGACTTGTTGTGAAGGGCTATTCTCAAATTTTTGGAGTTGATTATGCAGATACCTTCGCTCCAGTAGCAAGGCTTGACACAATAAGGTTACTACTTGCCATTGTTGCTCAAAATGGGTGGCAAGTGTTTCAAATGGATGTCAAGTCAGCCTTTCTCAATGGTTTTTTGCAGAAGGAGATTCATGTTGAGCAACCAGAAGGTTTTGTAATCAAGGGACAGGAAGATAAAGTCTATTTGCTGAAAAAGGCTCTATATGGCTTGAAGCAAGCTCCTAGAGTATGGTACAACAGAATTAATGATCATTTATTGAGCTTGGGCTTTAAAAAGAGCCAATCTGAAGCTACACTCTATGTCAAACATGTTGATGATGATATTTTAATCATCTATTTGTATGTTGATGATCTTTTGGTGACAGAAAGCAACCAAGCACAAATTAATAAGTTCAAGCAAGAAATGAAGGATGCCTTTGAGATGACTGATCTTGGTCTTATGACCTATTTCCTGGGCATGGAAATCACTCAGAAGAAGAATGAGATTTTTATATGTCAAAAAAAATATGCAAAGGAGATCCTAAAAAAGTTTCAGCTGGATGAATGCAAAATAATGAACACACCTATGAATCAAAAGGAGAAGTTCAGCAAAGAAGATGGAGCTGACAAAGTTGATGAAATGCATTTTAGAAGCTTGATTGGGTGTCTTATGTATCTTACATCCACAAGGCCTGACATTTTATTTCCAGTTAGCGTGCTATCAAGATTCATGCATTGTGCTAGTGAACTGCACTTGAAGGCAGCAAAAAGAGTTGT